TAGTCACTTAAACTATGATATATTGTTTTTTTTTTTTTTTTCCTTCCTTTTTAAATTAGAGCCAGAGATTAGCTCGGCTTGGTATTGCTTAGCTAACAAATGGCTCGACTCAGCCTGTAATAACAAAAATCGGTTCAGCTCGACTAGCAGGAGCCATGAGACGAACCGGGCCAGCCGTTTGTATCTTTCTCTGCGTAAGGTTGGTCAAACACAAGCCATCGATTATTCAGTGATTGTCGTGCAGTCGCTCTTTTATCTGGATTCAAATCTAACATTGGTAATAGAAAATCGGCCATATATTCTGCTTCATTACGTGGGAGTAAATACTTTTCTTGGAGAACGTCCGGTAGCTTCCAGTGACGAAGTTTATGGATGTGTCGAAGTTCCCCTTAAGTCAAGAAAGTGTAAGTTAAATATATTATAATGTATCCATTATCCAGAGCTGTTGAATATTCATACTACCTTTACGATTAAATATGTCACTTGAATATTTTCCACTCAGTGCCAAGTGTTTCGGAAAAGTACCTAGCAATTCCATAATTTGGGCTATATGATCTGTAAATAATATAATTAATATATAAATAATTATTAATATAATAATAGTAATAATGAAAAAATTTATAAATTGTATCATTATATTTGCCTTACCGTCATCCTTATTATATCGTGCCCCAGCCTGCGGATCAAATAGATAGTCACCTGTGAAAAGTTCAAATACCTAAAGACGATATAGGATTTCATTTAATGATATAAGATAATCACAAATGAAGTAATGGAATTTACTAATGAAACATACCATACAAGCCATGCTCCAGATATCAGCACTAGAACCCCAACGGCTACCTAGAATGACTTCTGGACTTCTATATTGTCTTGTCTGAATATCATTGGTGAAGTGGTGATCTACCCAACAAGCATTACCGAGGTCGGCGATTTTGACTGTAATTGTGTCCGGCGTGGTCCATTTTGCAGATGTAGATGGTTTTCGTGATAACTTCGTCTGAGAAGTGGGAGAAATGGCTATGGAGGATGACGAATTATTATGCGAGATAGAATCAACAAGAGAAATTTCATTAAGGTTACGTTCCAAAATATCTCTAATAAAACGACAAAAAATTTTATCTTATCAAAATTAAGCGAATGACTTTAAGTCTTACAAAAAGACAATGGTAAATTCTTACGTTGTTGATTCCCGTGGATCACAAACGATATCATCAATTTCATCATCATTATTATCTTCAACTCTGCTTAAACCATCTTTCTCATCGTCAACATCTTTATCCTCTTCAACACCATTTGTTGATGTCTCATTTTCTTTTGCAGCTTTCTTCTTCAATTTTTGTTTTAATTTTTTTTTCTGATTTTTAGACATACCTTGTGTTGGTAATATGGCTTGTTCAGACGCATTTATAGATTTTTGAGACGGGGACCCAGGAGATGGTGATGCCAGAGGCTGACTTCCAGTAATACGAATATGTAGGTCTTTTTTAGAAGTAGCCGGTGGTTTTACACCATTCAAAAGTTCATTCTTAACAACCTCCTCTACGTTATCGATACAAACCAATACATTTTCTGGCTTTAAATCAGTATGGATTATCCCACATTCCCTATGCATATAATCTAATCCCATAAGTACTTGTTTAGTTATTTGTTTTACCAAATGAGCAGGAATACCACGATGATTATATCGTTTTATTAAGCTTAATAAATTTTCTCCTAATACTTCGAATACCATACAAACGTGGACACCATTCGGGCCTCGATGTTGAAAATGGTCCAAAAGTTCAACAACATGCTTCCGACCTGGAGCGTCCGGATTTGCGTCTACGATTTTTTGTAGTAATTTAATCTCATCTAAAGCCGTTTCTGTGTAGTGTGGTGCTGATTTGACTACCTTAAGAGCAACATGCCGATTGCGACTTGAATCAAAATAAAATTCGATACATGTGAATATAAAATTGTTAGAGATGTTTGAATAAATTGAATTAAAAATAATACCTCGAATATATTTGAAAAGTTCAACAAACAATTGACAATTTTGCCTTACCGATTATCTTTAGCAAGCCAGACTGTCGAAAAATGACCCCAACCTAACTTTCGTATAACAATATATCGACCTTCGTTAAAAACATCACCAATTTTTACTGGATGATAACCTCCTTTACAATAATCGTCCAAGTCCTCCTCATCTTCAGTTAACAATTTTTCCGGTTCTTCTTCAGCAGAAGAGGTAGCAGAAGAAGACGAATTCTCTTCGTTAGCTGATTGACGCGAGTTTGTAGAAAGCGGATGTGGATAACTGAAAAAGAGTAAAACAAAAGAGTTATCAAAAAGTTACTTTGAATGTGAAATTAAGAAAATCAAAAGGGATAAATTATAACCGGTGACACATAAGAAGGAAATGGCTAATGATTGAGACTTACATTTTATTGGGAGACGTTGGAGAGAGTACAGGCGACATTGGTGAATGCTTGGTTGGTGTGCTAGGCATAGTGCCAGGAGTTTTTACAACTGGTTCAGTACGTCTACGTCTCTTTTTCTGTGCGATAGCTTGCTTGGTTTTCGGGGGGACACCTTGTCTTCGTTTATCAGACATTTGATCACACACACCGAACCCAAGCACAGAGGAAGTCCTTGCCTTGATTTATGGCGTATTGCCTGTCCAATTGATAAGTGGATGGCTGACATATCTTTGATGGTAATGATAAGTGCGATGATTGCTGACAAGCAGGCCGTGCCACATAATTGTGTAACAGGTGACGCAAATCCCCAAACCTTGGCCGAGAATGGAACTCGTGACCAGAATTACAAGTTTAACTTTTGTACAAATGCAATTGTCAAGAGAAAGCTGCAGACGTCTGCAGGTAATCTTATGATTCGTAAATAACCTCAATTTTACAATTTCGGTGTTTATAGTGCTTTAGTTACGTATAAAAAAATTTTTTATCGTTCACCCATAATTGCAACTTTTTATTTTTAATTGTTAGACGACAAAGAAATCCCTTACTTAATAAGCGTTATTTATCGCTCTATACGTATATGCAAGGATTGACTATACGTACGATTTAATTGTACCATACATGCGTACAACGTACCTACGTAAGTCGTATTCCAGTATTCGGATTCTTCTAATTTTTCTACGAAGGCGACCTAACGGTCGGGCCAACTGTATGTTGCACAATGAATTAGACTATGGCACGTGATCAACTAATTCCGTGAATTCCGTGAAATAAGCTTCTTGTCATATGCGTAGCAACTAACTCCATAAGCCTGGTTTAACTTTTTTTTTAAAAAAAAATGAGCGAAGCTGATTGGGATAATGTTACTGTAATTCGAAAGCGCGCTGAGCATGCCAAAGTCACAAAAGGTGACGCTGCGATTAATGCAGCTCGTCGCGCGGGAGCAGTCGTTGGGATAGAACGTAAAGGTAACTGTTCAGGAAAAACCGCAGCTAAAACAATTCAATGTTAAAATAACTAATTCTTTTATTTAGTTTCTGGTGGAACTAATAAAGCTCATACTAGCACCGATCATCAAAAGATTGCAAAGCTTGATCGGGAGAATGATGTTGCACCACCGCCAAAAATTAGTTTGTCAGTTGGAAAAGCCATTCAACAAGCTAGACAAGCTAAGGGTCTTACACAGAAAGATCTAGGCCAGAAAATTAATGAAAAAGCAAATATTGTATGTTACCTCCGTTT